GGCAGCCTGGACTGAGGGGTTGCCCGGGAGCTGCCGGGGGTGCCTGGTGCGTTTTGCACGTCGGGAAAGGGGAGTTTGCAGCTTGGCTTTGCAAGGCTCTCGCGGGGTGCTGGGGATGCTGGGCCCTGGGTGGCGTGGAGTAGCCCGGAAAGGCGCCGGAGGGCGGTGCTGGGGCAGCTGCATCCCTGGGTACAGACCCGGAGCCGGTGCTCTGCCCGGAGCGCAGGCACAACCTGCCGGACGGGTGGCACGGGCAGTGCGGGTTCGGGATGGTTTCTTTTCCCAGGAGCAAGGTGGCTTCCAAGAGACCCTTGCTGGAGGCGGATTGGCGCGGCGGTAGCACCACGGTAGGGTCCCTCGGGTCCCTGCAGGTCCAGGGCCCTCCGTGGTGGATGGGACTCGCCCATCTCACGAGAGCACTGCATCCTAACTTCCTGCATTTCGTGGTCCTTACTGTCCGAGTCTGGCTGAGTTTCATCAGTGTCATGATAGTATGTTTGGGTTCTGGTTAACACCTTTAATGCAGCAGAATCAATTGGGGGAAAAAAAGTGAACTCGGGACTATACTCTCACTGTGTCTGTAAATACACGTATGATGGTACTTGCACTACACCTGCTGTACCTGCATCTGTGCAGAGGCACTCTCCAGGATGAAGTCGAATGAGTGAGCGTTGAGTACTAGATGTTCACTAACGCTTTCTCGGTCAAACACAGCACAAGTGCAGCTTTAATAAGCAAAGTGACTAGTTTTAGGAGGCCACTACTTCTCAAACATGTGTTAGAAGTGCCCTGTCTGCATCATACTTTCTTACACTAACCTCCCACACACAATGTCTGTCTTTAAAAGTCCACAACCTTAAGTATGTGTGGCTGTGGCTCTTAGAGCTATTTTGTGATGCTAACATGGAACATGGAAACTGCTGCCTTTTTCACTGCAGATCCCTTTGTTATTTCCTTTGTGTAAGAGGAAGCCGAAGGGAAGTATGCAAAAGTAAGAGAACGGGGTGCTAGGGCACAGCCACAGGAATGTATTCTCACTTCAGGCCTGATCTTGTGCCATCAAGGCAATCAATAGCAGTTTTCGTCACAGTATCCAAGCTTCATACAGTAAAATAACTCTTTCTATAGCAAGCTTTCATCCCTGTAGGAACTTTCTTGCCATAGACTTAGTAATGATTACATTAGTTCTCCTTGGGAACAGATTACATGAAAACAGTGCTACCATCCTAAAGCTATCCAAACCTTCAGTTCTGCACTGTTTCTTGCACACCAGAGTAACAAGATGTTTTGGAACCATGGAAAATACATGATCCGGTACTTCAGGAATCCAAAGTATTTAATAAACAACATAGAAAAAGGTATTCTAGGTGAAGATAACGGTGTTCCAAATAAAGACAAAAACCTTATTCGGAGTACGTTCTAAGCGCTTGTTTTTACCAGTGTAAATCCAGAACTGGGGGCTACACCAGTTTTACACTGTTGTGTGATGTGAGCTGCGCGCTTTTGCTGTGGCTGTATTTAGGATGGACCTACCAGGGCAGCTGTGACACAGCCTTTCCAGAAACAGTGCATTTTGGAGAAGGCACAGAGGTGAGGCTGCCAGGCACCAGAAGTGTGCTGGGGAATGGCATGAGCACTAGCACTTCTACAAGTTTTCTGGCACCTTCTCTGTGCAAAAAGTACTTGTGTGGTATGGCTTTCTTATGCATCCCTTCCTCCACATGGCTGCAAAGTCTGACAGTGATTGCATTTTATTGTCTTGAGCTAATTCCAGATATCCAGAGGGACTGATGGATGGCAAGAGCTCTGCTGGATTGAGTTACAAGCCTCCCAGCTGCCGCTGAGTAAGGATCTATTTGATAAGAGAGGGGCAAGCACCCACGTGTGCAGAGTGAAAGCAGCAGTTTGCCAGCTGCAGGACTTGAGCTGGGAGGTCCCTGCTCAGAATCTCAACTTGGGTCCAGTTGCTTTTCAGAGGTGTTGGTCTTTCCATTGACTCTGCCTGGAAAATGAAGGTGGTCAGACAGGTTGTAATTTCTTTACAGCCAAGTTAAACAATAGCCTCGCTTGTAGGGTAGATTTCATGGAATTGCAATACAGTAGTTTGTCAGTTTATAGTGTAGATTAATTGAAATTATAATTTCTGTGATACAGCCCCTTTATTGGAGCTACTATGAGTTTCTTCAGAACTCATTTAGGAATTCAATATGACTGATGGGTGATCCTAATGCTGGTTGTCAGCTGAGGGAAGAGTTCCTCCAGTTAACTCCAGCTGGTTATGTTAATGTTTGATGTTACATGCGGTTGTTTACTGCTGTGCATGTCTGTGTGGGCTTGAGTTTGCACAGTCTAGCAGTACAGTTTCTAATGATCTTTGCACCTAGCTAACAGTGTTTCCGTTTCTGTGTACATAAGGCTGGGAAATTGTTGTTTATCAAAGATTCCCTTTTTAAAACCACTGTTAAGGTACATTGATTTTGGCAAACGCATTGTTACTGTATTTGTCATCCTGTGTCTCATGCGGGCAGTTTAACTTTTGCTTAAAATTCCAGATGTTGTTACTTCCTGAAAACTTGCTTCTCCACCCATCTGACCAATGATAAACTGTTTTCTTCATCAAAACCACTTGCCATGTCAGCTTGGGCTTCCCATGAAGGAAACCTGAATGAATATGAATCCTCATGAGTATGGGGTAAACCTGTGTTTGTACAGTGTCAAGCCCGAAGTGTCACAAGGTTTAAACAGGACTTTTTTTTTTTTCCCAATTTCTAAGTTTTTTTTTTTTTTTCCCTCACTTCCTTCTGAGTTCTGTGGTATTTTCTATACCTTGACATACAGGACAGCTTTTTTAAAAAATGAAAACTGAGGTTATGTAAGTGGAGGTGTAAGGAAAGCATTAAAGTTTTCAGAGCATGATAAAATGGAGTTTGGCAGCGCAGCCTGTAGGCTGTTAGAAAAGCCAGTTTTGATCTGAAATTGCTGGGTCAATTCTTAATTCTGCTCTCTTTTCCAGCTCCCTAAGTAATCCCTTTGTAGATCACCTTGTTAACTGTAAGCAGGTAGCAGTGGCCAGAAAACATTTTCTAACAGGGTCTTGTATTCGCAACCGTGTGCCTGGAAGCTTTTGCAATACTGACTGTATGCCTTTATACCTCTGCTGAACTAAGCCTGGGAAAGTGTGATTGGTTTGGGTTTTTGTTTGTTTTTGGCAAAAGCTTAGATTTGCTTTGTCTACACGTTTTCACCTCCAGATCTTCTTTTCAAGACTTTGTTTAGAAATGGACTTGCATACTTGTCACTAAACTTCTATGTTTCAGTGTGTATGCATGTAATTTTTTTATATCTCATTTCTATTCTACTTTATATAAAATCTGATGCAAATTTCATTAAATTTATATCTACCTTTCAGAAAAATGGTGAAGACTCCCCATTTCAGGGTTGTCCCTGATTTAATTAGAGTTAAAAACTACATCATTAACTAACCAGTGGTGTGTGTACATTAACTGTCTCTGCATTTCCTTGGCTTTGCGTCATGCTGTTAAGAATGAGACCCAACTGCTTGACTAGCTCAGTTAGGACATGATTCAAGGAGAATTCTCACTTGAAATCTGAAGAAAAGGTCTGTGACAAAAGTATGTGTGACAAACTTGGGTTTTGAATGATTATTTTAAAATAGACCAAAATACTTTGAGGTACAAAAGTAGGAGTGTGAAATGCTAGTTTACTGAAGTGATATACGCTTTATAGCTTCTCTGCTGCAGTTCTAAAGCATAGTACATGTAAATAACAGCACACATGGTGAGTGTATACATAATATTGAATACTTCTGTACTATATTTCTAAAATTTATCTGCAAAAGGTGGGAGGTGAGGTGGTACTGCATCGTATGTACTGGACAAGATGAGGAGCAGGCGAGTTATCTTATGCTCTGAGCCATACAGAATTTGCAGAGCCTAACTCAGGCAAATTTTGAGCATAGGTTCTTAATAAGAACACCATTAAGAAGCTTGTATCAAACACCACCACACACACTTTCCTCATCCAGATGGTATCTTTCTAGTGGGAACTGAGCATATGTGGAAATTAGACAATGCGATGCTTTTTGTTATTGTAAAAGATGCTAACAATAATGCTAAAATTTGCAAAAGATGCTAAAAATTTCTTCTAATTCCTCATACAACATGGCTAAATGAGAAGAGTGGCATTCTGCCATTTCCCTAACTCATGGGCTATTTCTTTGCAGCTGCTGCTTTCCTATGGTGACTGAATATCTGTGCTCCTATGTCCTTAAATCCCACCCAAATATTTTTAGGCTGAAACACATTAATATTAGTGAAGCACTTGCACATCTTCAGTGGTAGATGCCTCTGTGCTTCTTTCTAAGTTGGATGCACTTGTCTAAGTGCACCTTTAAGTATGGTGCATTTAGAATTGCAAGTTTAGTTTATTAGGAGCTTGTTCCCAAAAGAAGCGTGGGTTTTATTTATTTGCAAAATGTAGTATGTGTTTGTAATTGAAAACACACAACAAGACAGGATACTAATTTGATTTAGATTTTTTTACGGTTGTCAGATATCCAAGTATGAAAGGAAGCACTATTAACTAGTGAGCAGGTGGATTATTCTTGTTCGCCTTCCTGTTCTGTGCAGGACAATAACTGAAAAGTCATACATAACTGAAAGTCCTTCCTTGTATGCCTTATAGTTGAAAGCTGTTCTTGGTCTTTTTGGGGTTTTACTGATCCACAGCTCAGTGAAAAGTTGTAGTTGATGTTCAGTCAGTCAGCCTTCGGGACATTTTTCTCACTAAAGAGTATATACTGAAAGTCTAAAGATTTGTATCAGAAGGTTTTTTTTTTTTTGTAATCTCTCAGAGAGAAAATGACTTTTTGAATTTGCAAAAATATAAGAAAGGAGCAACTTCTAAGAATGATGAGTACTTGGTTAATTTCATAGATTTTGCTCTCAGTACATGAAGTCTTCTATTCATTATTATGTGAATACTTTTACTGTTTTGGAGAAAGGTGTTTTTCATAAACTTTATTCCTTTTTTAGGGGGAAGGAGGCAGGAAGGGGGCCCTAAGTGTAATTATTCTGGATTAGCTAGCCAGCCTTGTGCAGTCAAGGTCAAAACCTAAAGCTTGAGTACTGCATCTGTTCAGTCCACGGTTCTTGTTACTTCCCTGCATGTGCTTTGCTTTTGGCAGGTGAGAACCCCTGATCAACTTGGGTGATATTAAGCCTTTCATTGTGGGCAGTGGTCGTCTCTCAGAGGCTTGTACGTGAGCCAGCCTGCGTGCTGGTTTTACCCCTCACACAAGAGGTTAGATCTTGATTTCTGTGGCCCTCTAAGCGCAGCAGGACCTTCCCAGAAGTTATGCAGCTGACTGAGGGCTCAATGAGGTCGGGCATAAGTCAGTGCCATGCTGAGTACTGTAGCTCGGATATGAAGACCAGGGAAACTAAGTTTTAGAACTAATCAATAGTTTGTTATTCATTGCTTCTGAGTGATGTGGCACAACTTTATGGAGAAATGTATATCCACCTGCTACCGCAACCTCTTCTGCAGTGGGAAAAAGAAGAGGAAAGAAAAAGCAGTGAAAGTCTATCTTTTGTATCGGGCATGGGGTGTCATTGTGTCCCTTTGCACTCCCTACAGTGGGTCGGAGGCATTCATTAATGTGTGCTTGGGAGTCTGTGAAAGCTCGGTGGTCATAATGCCAGGAAACAACACAGGGTAGGACAGAGTTGGCCCGAGTTCAACTGCACTTGGAAAACAGGCAGGCGGTATTGCTGAACACAAGTTGCCAAAGTACGACCTGGCTTTTGAAAAGCACTGGCGCTTAACTCCACAGTTAAGTACCTCTCTATCCAGCAGATCCTGTAGTTAAGTGTTGAATCTGACATAAAAAGAGGAGGCATTTAAGTTTCTTCACAGACAATGGCAGTAGTGAGCCTGAAGCCTAAAGTCACTTCTCTGCCTTGGCAGGAACCAAAGGAAAACGTACTTTGAAGCTGGAAGGAGTTCTCTAAGAAGTTATCTTTTCAGACCATCACATACTTTGCTACCACCAGTAGATGATCTTCACCTTCTTCTCTCCCCAGATTCAAAACAGCTTCAGGCAAAGGAAGGTTTTTTTCCCTGCAGTCTTGCCTATTAGATAATCCAAAAATCAGGCTTCTGCTTTACTAGTTCAGTTTCCTTAATGGGTATCTGATCTTCTCACATGCTTTTTTTCCTCTGTTGGTAAAAAGTTAAAACTAGCATTTTGTAAAACAGTGGTGACTTTGCAGCTCTCATTTTTAATGCACTGCAACTACTGGGTGGTATGAAGAGCCTTGTTAGGCAATGATTACTGATGAAGTGGAAGATGCACAGATGTAATACAATGGCAGGAACTCGCTGCTTTCCTGCATGTACTGCCTGTGACTGTTGGGTGCAGTTTTATGCACTGCTGGCCAGATTCTCCCACTCTTAGCAGGACCTTGGAAGGCGAGCAATTTTCACCCTTTTATTTCCTCTTTACATGGCCGTTGTGGTGCAAAAGGAGCACTGTAGGAAATGAAAAACACATGTCCCATTTCTCGACTGTTCTGATAACTCTTTAACATCGTACTTGAGACTTCTGAAGTGTTCGTCCTAACAGTCCTAAAACATTGATGTATGTTTCTTACACTCTTGCATAGCAGAAGCTGAGACGAATTTTGAGGGAATTGAGAGCAAGTTTTCCTTACGGACATCTACAGAGCCTGATGAGGATGTCTGCTACCTGATTCCTGGGCAGGTGGATAGCCTGGCACGGTGCAACTTCAACCATACCAGTAAAACCTTTGTGGTGATCCATGGGTGGACGGTAAGAAGAAAGGGGAGGAATCTCCCTTTTACCTACATGCCTGATAAACTGTGCTAGATACAACCACAGATAATGTTAAGATACTCCTTGTTTTGTTGTTTTTGTTTTTTTTTTTTTTTTTTTTTTTTTTTTTTTTAAAAAAAAGAAACCCACAATAACAAAAACAACACCAAACCACACAAAATGCAACAGGTGACAGGAATGTATGAAAGTTGGGTCCCAAAGCTGGTGGATGCTCTCTACAAGAGGGAACCTGATTCAAACGTCATCGTGGTGGACTGGCTAGTTCGAGCTCAGCAGCACTACCCAGTCTCTGCTGCATACACTAAGCTGGTGGGAAAGGATGTTGCTACGTTTATTGACTGGATGGAGGTAAGACGTGTAGTCCTACATGTCACACATTGTACCTAATGTCCTAGGAGACAAAACAACAATGATGCAGCTGTGTTAACCATCTCCTATTGGGTAGACGGAGTTAAGCTGTTGCAGGCAATGCTTTTGCTGAATTGGTAAAATCCCAGCTTAAATTTAATGGTTATGTTTTACACAAGGAGGCCTTTTATAGTGCATTCCAGAAACTTTACCTTGTGGTCTGAGGAGCCCTCTAAATCCCCAGTATTTCTGAAGGCTCTGTGAGAGGCAGCTATGAAAGACAAATTTCCATATGTTATACAGCAGCCAGCCCTTAGTAAACAGAAGTCTGCCCTGCCTTTGGGAAATGCTCAGAAGATCCAGAAACTGGTGGTGAGGGGCTGGCTGAAAAGCTTTTGTATAATGCATATATTCTGTCCTTCATTCTGCATTCCTCTGTGCTTAAGATTCTTGCCTTAACTTAGTTAACTCGAGTGACCTTGTATGGCACAAAATTATCTTAATTGTATTTAGTGTTTATTGTTCATGGCTTAGAGAAATTCCAGTGTTTACAAAACATTGTCTCGTCTCCTGATGTTTTCCCATTTGACTTGAAAACAAATTCCTTTCTGCTGCAGGAGCAATTCAATTATCCTCTCAACAATGTCCACTTGCTGGGGTACAGTCTAGGTGCTCATGCTGCTGGGATTGCTGGAAGCCTGACCAAGAAGAAGGTGAACAGAATTACTGGTAAGAAAATCTGTGCTTCTACAGTGTAGAGTCCTGTCCCTTCCATGCTGGCAGATGTTCCTATGGAAAATAACCACAATAACTGTTGCCTGTTGGCAGTGCTTAGTTTGTGTCCATGCCTTATTGAACTGGCAGGACTGATATTTCTGTATTAGAACTGGAAAAGGTTCGGAGAAGAGCAACCAAGGTGGTGGGTGAGAAGCCTTGATCTATTCCTGCAGAGCAGGTTAGTGAATAGGCAGGGATTCATTTGCCATGAGAAGAGACTAGTTGGTGAGGATGTGATCGAGACTGGCCAAATCCATGGCTTGGAGAAGGCCACAGTATCTCTTGCAGCACAACAGAACTTCAGCTGTTTGTCTTCATCCAGTGTGGTAGCATCCCGTAGCAAAGAGCTCTACAGGTACTACATCCACTGTGAGTTGGTAAAAAAAAATTAGTCCTAGCAAGCTCAAGTAATATTCTAGACTTGAAATAATACTGGGAGAGTTTTGGGAAAGGGAAGGAAGTATACATATGCTTGCCCTGTTCCTGTGCATGCCTAGGTGTCTGTTTAGGGTGGTTTTTGGAGAGTGAGAGGTGTGCTAGACAAGGCAGAGTACACTGCTGCTGTGGGGCTGGTTTGCAGCACCGCACCTGGAGAGTGGAGCCTCTAGCATTGATCTCAGTGACAAAGGAAATGCCAACCCTGGCAAATGAGGTGGAGAAAATCACTCATCTGTGGTGTCTTCACTGCTGAGAGAGCTTTGGGGTGACATTCAAATAGGAGCCTAGCTTCCTTCCTCCCTACACCCTTTGCCCTTTCAGCTGAGCCTGGCTGTCATCACAGGCATGCTGGGGGATGCACCTAGGCAGCAGTCACATCAGAAAAGGCTGAATCTTGAGAGGTGGCAAATTAAAATCAGGAGGCCAAAACATGAGTCCCTTCCTTTCTTCCAGCTGCAGCTTTTTTGCTTTCACTGAGGCTGCCAGGTCACTCAGTTACCAGTAGCCTTCTGTTATGGCCTCGCAGCTGCCCTTGGTGCCCAGCATTAACCTTTCCCTGGGAAAGGGACATCACCTTTGCGCACAGGGAGTGGTGGGATGTGGTCCCTGAAGCCCTCACAGCAGAGTGGGACACAGCTCAGAATGGATGAGGTGGGCAATCCAGGTGCCTGTCCCCCACTGAGGGCTGCAGAAAAGACGTGTCCCTCCAGCTCTGCCTTCAGCCGTCTCTCAGATAGTTGTCTGGATAGTGCTTGTTCACTGGCAGAATAGTTTTGGGTGGTTTTGATGTCAGTGCTGCTGCAGCTTGACATTTTACCGTAATCATCCCCTTCCCCCTGGGCATGTAGACAGTGAAGCTCTTGTTTACGTTTCCCACTTGTTCCCTAGCAGAGAGTTAGCAGCAAAGCATTTTCCACACTTCAGACATTTCAGATAGAAATTTTACAATTCTTGACATGAGAGGAAGACACTGAGAAAATACTGGCTTGTTTCTTTCATACATTGGAAATGCTACAGCTTTGAGGAAGTTCTCAGCTTCTTCACATATGTTTACATACAGTTTATTTTTTTAAACAGTGACTGCATTTCAAGGTAAGTGCATTTGATTCTCTTGTATACATGAACACTGCTTAAATGGTGGCACTGTAGTGTCTGCAGTGACACCAACACCATATGTGACACTCCAGCTGAATGTGGTAGCTGAGTTTGGCGTTTGCTATTCCTGTTAGTGACTTTGTCACACAATCTCAATTTTTGGTTTGCCCCATAAAGGACTGGATCCAGCTGGTCCTACCTTTGAGTATGCTGATGCCCTCACCCGCCTTTCCCCCGATGATGCTGACTTTGTGGATGTCCTGCACACCTACACTCGAGGCTCCCCAGACCGCAGCATTGGGATCCAGAAGCCTGTTGGACACATAGATATTTATCCTAATGGTGGAGGTTTCCAGCCAGGTTGCAACCTGGGAGAAGCACTTCGTCTGATCGCTGAAAAAGGCTTTGCAGGTGAGGCTGCTCTGAAACAGTGTAGCATCCAAAGGGACATCTTCAATAGCTTGCAGGTTTCCTGTGAGCAAAGATCTCTGAGAGGCACCAGGAACTTGTTCATTTAAGTGCTTTTAAAAGTCACCCTCTAAAGCCCAGCTTTGGCATAGTGGATCGTAACTGTTGACAGCATTGCTTATGGCTTTATATCCTAGCGTGCATGTGTGTATACATACTACATATATTTTGCTTTTTCAAGATGTGGATCAGCTGGTGAAATGCTCCCATGAACGGTCCATCCACCTTTTCATTGACTCCCTCCTCTATGAAGAAAAGCCCAGCATGGCTTACCGCTGCAACACGAAGGAGGCCTTTGAGAAGGGTCTCTGCCTGAGCTGCCGCAAGAACCGCTGCAACAATTTGGGTTACAAGGTCAACAGAGTGAGAACGAAGAGAAACACTAAAATGTACTTGAAGACTCGTGCTCAGATGCCCTATAAAGGTAGGTTCTTCTTCTGTACTAGTGAGAGAGGCTGGTACTTTTGCTCACCTGTCTGGCAGGATGGGTGCATGCTGCACATGGCACATCATTGCTGCTTTGATGTCTGTGTTGAGTGGAGGTGAAGCTTGCCTGCAGCTTGCCATTAAGCTCAAGCAAAGTGCAATCTCAGAAAAACAGTGTCATCTTCAAGATGTGGAGGTGGGTGGTAGAATACAAAAAAGGAGAATATTTTGTAACAAATTTCTAAGTAGCAAAATCAAGAAGATTTATTCTGCAGCCCGGTCACTTAGGTCAACTGAGTCTCAAATTTTTCCAGTACTTTTCCTCCAAATTAGTTTTTCCTGCTGCTGGGGAAAATATTCAGCAGGGCTCAGCCTGATGAGCAGCTTTAAATATGTGGCAGCCATCAGACTTGTGCCTTTTCTGGTGTCTTTCCCAGAGGAGCACCAGCCCTTAAAATATCACAGCACTTCTTGATTCCCATTGCGTCAGTGGTAGGTCTGAGAAGGACACTGCTAGAAAGAACTGGAGGGCTTTCAGCTGAAGAAATAGCTTCTGACTTGGATTTCACTACTTAATTTTATTTTTTTACTCTATAGCTTTGACTGCATACCACATGGTATGCTCATTGTGTGATGGACCAGTAATTAGAGGGCACATTCCTGGAGTGTTAGAACAGCTGCAAGACTGGTGTTTTATTGGCATTTAGTGCTTAATCTGCAGTGTCAGTTGTCAGTGGATTGAACTTTTTTCACCAAGGCTTCTGTTTGAGGAGGGTATGGCTTACTTGCTTCAAGTCAAGGACAGCAAGTTTTATGCATGGGTTAGAGGTTTGAAGGTGATACTGCAGATGCTGGTTATTATAGTCACAGTCAGCTTAAATTCAGAGTTTAGTTGCAAGAACTGCAGAAGTGTTTTTTAATTGTGATGTCCTTGCATTCTAAACTTCACCTCCTCACAAAAATAGTTCCCTGGATACTTGCAGGGAACCAAACTCCTCAGTTCAATGATCTTCTCAGGCTAGATTTGCATGGGGGTTTTTGAGTGGTTTTGTTACCAGCAGTCTCTTTGGAGGTTTAGTTTTTTCCTAATGGCCTTTTCTTTTGTGTTCCAGTCTTCCATTACCAGGTCAAGATCCATTTCTTTGGAAAGACTAATACAACCAAGACAAACCAGCCTTTCCTGATCTCTCTCTATGGCACTCTAGATCAGAGTGAGAACATTGCTTTCACGCTGTGAGTAGCTACAGAAACAACTCCAATATACTGTTGAGCCTACCTAAATCTATTAAAGTCTTAGCTGAAAAACTTGTTCCAGCTCCAGCTGCAGAAATCTTACAGGGTCTCCGTCTTCTCCTGTCCTTGATCAAAGGGACGCATCCACTGCTGAAGCTAATGATTTAAGTGCTATAAGACCTCTTGTTGATAAGAGATCTGACTCATGGAAATGTGAAGTCTGACCTGTGGCTCAGCCTAATAAGAATTTCTCTGGTGTGGCATGTTTCTTGTTTTCTCTTCTTTTCAGTAACTCTGTGTCAAGTTCCAGCTGTGCTAAAGCTCCTTAAGAGCAGATTGCATCCTGGAGTTAGTTGTGTGAAGGGTCTGAAGGCGTCAGTGCAGAAGCTGAGGGACACATGAGATTTGCTTCCCCTGCTCTGCAAATAATCACGACTCTGTGCTCACATCCCTTCACATAGGCTGGTAGGGAATGGGGCTGGAAAGCACCAGAGTCTGTTTTCTACTTTGAGGAACCTAAACTGTCCCTGGACAGTTCTTGTCTGGCTCCTCTAGGAGCCATCAGCACAGGAGAAAACACTCTGTGCATAGCAGTCTGTCCCAGGATTTTACTGTCCATGCTTCAGGAAAGCTTTTGTAGACACAAGGAAAAGCTAAGGCATTTTTTTCCTTTCTCCATCAGTCAGAAGTGTGGAGAAGGTTGGTTGCTTCCTTCTTCTCTGAAGTACATGAAGTCCTGGTTCTGTTTCCCCTTAATTTTCTCTATCTGTCCCAACAGTTCTCTTTTGTTTCTTTTTCCTTATTCCCCTCCCCACAGGCCTGAAGTCTCCTCAAACAAGACCTTCTCCTTCCTGATTTACACAGAAGTGGACATTGGTGACCTACTTATGCTGAAGCTGCAATGGGAGAAAGACACCTTCTTCAGCTGGTCAGACTGGTGGACTCCTTTTACATTTGACATCCAGAGAGTCAGAGTGAAATCAGGAGAAACTCAGAAAAAGTAACTTGTTTTGATTGTTAGAAGCTGTATTAGTTTTAATTGACAGTGTTTCCTGATTCCTGGTATCTCACAGGGTGGGACAAACCATGAGAAGCAGTTATAAATGGGTGCAGCACTGATAATCAGGGTTCCAGTGGCACCAAACTGGCCTTTATGTCACCCAGGTTCACGTTTTCACTTCCACTGGGATCTGCAATCTCTACTTTTACTCCCACATAATTTGCCCACTGTCTCATGTGCCTCAGGTTAATTAGAATATATGGGAGAGGATCTCCGTGAACCAGGATCTCTGATGGTAGTTGCAGTTCCTCTACTCTTTTTTCTTGCTGGGTGTTTACATAGTTTTTCTGGGGAAGAGTATGCTTAGAAACCCTTCCAAAAGTGTGTTTTATACATGAAAGCTTTACTTCATTAAGCTGTATTTTCTTAAGAGTTGAATACCTGAATGGTGGCTGAAAACTGAAACACGTGGCTGTTGCAGAGCATTGCTAACGCACAAATGTTAAAATAGTGAAGTCAGAACAGAGCTGCTTTGACCTTTATCTGTTGAAATACTCAATTCAGATCTGTTAGCAGAAAATGAACCCAGAACACGGATCCAGGACAGAGTATGCATGTCCTGTGTGTAGCATTGTGAATAATATGTTCTTCCTTTGAATAAACAAGGCAGTCACTTGATCAGAGAACAGTTATCAGAGCTGAACAAATATAGGGGTGGGGAAAGTGCTGATAAATAGAAAAGCAACTGCTCAGGTTTGCTGGTATTGACAACCTGCTTCGTTTGCAAACATTTAAGGGAGTAAGGCTTTTTTCCAAGATCACTCACCTGACAAAAAAGTTACACAAGCACTGGTGTAAACAAAGATCCAAGAGACTTGAGATTGTTTCTGTTCTCTTAGCCAGAACAAGATTTTATGCAAAGGTCCAGCCAAAATTACCACAACAGTTTGAGGTCCTGCATAGTGCATTTACTGGTTTTTCATGCACAGTGCTTTTGTCACACAATTATCTTAAAAAATAATTTTCTCGCAGTCTTGTAAAGTAGTAGTGCCCCACATGACAAAGTGTGAACGCTGCTTCCAAACACTAGTCCTGTTCCTACAGTGAAAAAAGAGATGTCTGGCTCAGTCATGTGATGTCCAATATCTATTCCACAGGGTGGTGTTCTGTGCACGAGATGGCACCTCACGTCTCAGTAAAGGAGAAGAGGCTGCAATATTTGTGAAATGCTTGGAGCAGCCTGTCAACAGAAAGAGAGGAAGGTATGTGATCACTGTTGGCTCTGGCTTGTGGAAGCTTCAGTGGTAGCAGTGGAATTTAAGAAAACTTCCCAGTTCAGTTGACATACATTTGCCTTCTCAAGGCTTCAGAAGCATCACAGCTCAGGCTAACCTGAGGCTGGCTTATGGCAGCTTTGGTGGTTCAGATGCCTCTGATTTGGTTCTCTGATAACCATCTCCTTGTGCGGTTGTTAGTGTGTCTGAAAACCAAATACAAGTCACTGCCTCTCAAACTCACACAGTGGCCAAGCATAAGTGACTGGTGGAGGGGGTTTACAGATAAGGCACTAACACAGAGGAAAGTGTGTCTCTGTCTAAGGATGCCCTACATTTACCCTTAACTGAAGAACATACAGCATCCACACTAAGTCAGTCCAGAGCCCTCCTTCCTCACTGGCCAGCAGCAGATTTGGAGGCTGGTACAGAAACTGAGCAGACATATGCAGGTGCTCTCCTTGGCCCGCTGCTTCCTTCTGGCAACAGTCCCAGGGACTTCCTGAGACTTGCATCTCTGATTTGGATGACAGATTGAGTCTCTGTTTAATAGCACTCGGTGCACTTTAATTCTTTGAATTAATTTTTCTGACCCAGAGTAAACTTTCAAATATGGGGCCAGGTTTGTTTGGACTTTATCCACTAAAGTTTGAGCTGGAAAAGTGGTTATATTTATTTTAGTGCAATTGCTGTGTGTGAAAGGTCTCACAGGGACACTCCTAGACTGAGATCTAGGTCTGCATTAAAGGGCATGTGTGCTGACCTTCACTCTGGGGCAATGACCTCCAAAAGCCTGGAGAGCTGTGTGTGTATCTGACATATATAAAACCAAGGAACAGCCAGGAAAAGCCCAAGCACATAAATTTATTTTCCTGTTAAGCAGCATTTTTTTGATCCTAAGTCTCAAAAATAAGACAAAAAGGAACAAGTATCTTATATCTTCCTCTTCACCTTATCTGTCCTTTTTTTTTTTTTTTTTTTCTCTCACAGTGCCAAGAAAACCTCTAAAGAAAATTCTGCTCATGAATCTGCTTAAGTGACAAGAATGAAGATTTTTTCCAAACTGGGGAGGAGGAGAGTCTGTTCATCCCCATGGACTGGATGTTCAGAACCAAATATATAGAAATATTTATCAGCTCCTGGCTTTTTTGCCTGCTATTCCTAGCTATCATAGAAGACTTCTTCTCAGGAAGTCTCAGCATAAAAAGTTACTAACCATAAATATACATTATCCAAATAGTTAAAACCAAAAAGAAACCTGCAAAACAACTTGCCAAAGGCTTGAGTGCTGGGAAGGAATAAGTAATTTTGCTTAATCATGGTGCGTTGTGAACAAGGTTACTTGACATCAAATCCTCTATAGCAATTTTCTAGTATTTATTGAAAAGAAACAAAGCCATATATGTGGCTTTTGTTTCTTTTTAGGAGTCTTCTGAAACTGAACAGGTTTTTTTCTGGCTTGGCTAACTGAATTTTCAGACAGTTCAGTGGCTAGAGTTCATAGTCTTTGAGTGTGTGTTTAGCAAATGAGTATGTTTCTCCTGTGAAAAAATACCTTTTGCTGTGTGTATTACTAAAAGTTGTCAGGGACTGACTTAATATGGGGATGAATTTTGTAATTTGTGGTTATGAATGTGTTTTACTGGGGGTGGATTCCAGTTCCACTTAGCAATAGGTATGATCTGTTAAGCAATATACTTCTATGCAGCTTACCCTGGAATAAATAGCAGCTGTAGGAGAGGAGAGCAATACCGGTGTCCTGTGCAGACATTCAACTCTTCATCTGTGCTTTCGTTCCTTGAAAACGAAACCATCGAGCCTGAACACTGTGTGAATAATGAACTGCAAAGGAAATGAGCTACCAGAAACTGCAGGAAATAGATTTTATTTTTTTTTTTCCCCTTTTTTTTTCCAACCACCTGCTTGCATCCAGAGCATATTCCAGAACTGTGACCATTTCTCTGCTCTTTGACACCACACAGTCATGCAGCTGAGTGGCTGCTGTACGCAGTCTTCAGTGCAAGTGAATCCACTTGACAAATGACATGTTTCCACGTGCTGGAATGGTGACTGCCTGTTTGTTGCTGGGGTGTGGTACAGTACTGGCTAGATCCTAGGGGCTGCATGGTTTTCTGGCATGAGGTGGAATTTAGGAAGGAGCAGGAGCTGTGACAGTTAAAAGGAACTTGATTGTGTGTTGCACAAGAATGAATGCTCTGAAAAATGCTGGAATTAAATATACTGCAAGTTACCAAAAATAGATGCATTGAAGGCATTCTGCTTCCCCTTAATACATAATTTTTCTAGTGCTCTGGAAGGTTCACTAGCCCTCTTTTATCTTTCTAGAAGATAAAATACTGGGGGGTTAGAAGAGCTGGAAGGTGGACACCTGGAAAAGTGTTGTGTGAGCTACTGATACTAGTCTTTCCCCTCATGTGCGAGACAATGAGGAGGTAGTGGTGATTTCTCCAGTGTCATCCCATCTTGAAAGCAAAACCAACATGTTTATGTGCACAGCTTATTTTTTTCCAGCCATGGCTGCTAGTATATTTGGGGATAAAAGTCTTAGTGCAATATCTTGGATTATTGACTGAAATTGTTCACATTTGATTTCCTAACCCTTAAACTACAGCAGAGATACGATGAGTCGCTGAGGGTGGGGTTGAGTATTGAGCCACTGCATTTGAGACCTCTGAAAATAAATATAATGAATTATTCCCTATAGACTTCATATTTTGTTGCCCTTTTCTCTTAAGAGTTAAATTCTTTGGAAAGTGTCTGGACAGATGTGCTCTTAATACAGGATCAAATACAAACACATACAGAGCTCTGATACAAAATAGTGAAGGTTCTTGTATGTGAGGACACGTGATTTAGCTTTGGATGTTATTTATTAGCTGTAAATAAGATATTTATGTGTGTAAAGGTAGTTTGTATATATTGCTAAAGTTACTGACGGTCTCTACATTAATACAGTTGTGTGGTATTAATCCTGTATATAGCTTTCAGAAATATTTTTATCAACAAACCACTTACACTGCATTATTTCCTATGTGGTTAATACTTTTTTTTTTTTTTTTTAAGAGAGCTCCTCAGTTTTGTACAGAATGGAAACCTATGGTTTTAATAAAATTCTAAAACTGATGCTAAAGTCACTAGTTTCCTTTTGCTGAAGCTATCTGCTGTATACCTTTTAAATAGGCCCCAGCCTTTTACTTGGATTATGAGGTGAAAAGATGGGGTAAGACGACTTTTTTTTAAGCAATGTGTAATTTATTTTTTTTTCTATTTCCTTTTGGGAAATGGTGTTGGCAGTTGCTATGTGCCAGCAACTATCCCATCAAAAGAAAGTAGCCAGTCACCTGCAGTTTGTGGTTTTTGTTTCATGCCCTTCTAAGACCAGCCCTTACTTTGAAAGGCTCATTTCTGCTTTCTGGTCAAATGTCAGAAGTACTCTCCTGCTCCTTGCTGACCTTGTGGGTACAGGAGTCAAGCAGCAATGCCTTACCACCACTACCACTTAGGGGAGTAACAATGAAAAACTTGCTTTGACCCACATGTTGTGAGCATGTGGTTGTCACCAGAACAGTTTGCTTTATGATACAAAAGCAAGGCTCTACCAAAGCCCTTGGAAGGGGAGTGCGGGAATCAAGGAGATTTGTACTGACATCCCCATGGGGGACAGTGTTAGGGGTGCTTGGATCTTGGAAGACTGCTTCCAGCATTCTTACATGGACAAAGACTGCTCTTTGACAGAAGCAGAGCTTCCCTCATGAAAATATAGTGGAGGTATGCAATGGAAAATGGATGGGCACAAAGGCAAGCGAGGGATGAAAGAGGGGAGAGAGGAACTGGAGGGGGAAGGAAAGTGAGCTAGGGAGTGGGCTGGGGAATGAATGGGAGAGGGAAGACTGGAAGAAGTCAATCTGCAGAGCGGGAACACATTGAGGTATTGGCAGCAAGCATTCTAAGGACATTTCCTCTTTCTCTGTCAGTGGTTGGGCTGGACTGGAAGAACTACAGTTGTACAAGACAAGGCCTGTGACCCCACCTTGTAAAAGCACTGTGATATTATTACTCTTTCAAAAGCCACAGCAACCTCACTTCACCAAACACATGATTAAGTAGAGCAGAGAAATAAGTTTTGCTGCAGGGACAAGAACCCAGGTCTCCCCTATGAGCCTTCAGAGCCATCCCCGGTCTCGTTACTCTTGCATCCAGCTCTGCACTGGCTGGATGCATCAGGAAAGGTGATGATCGCTGCTCAGCTTACCAGCTGTCTCCAGGAGGGCTGTAGGGAGGATATACTGGCCTGTGGCTAACCAATGGTTTGAACAGGCAGAAAGAGTCATTCTTGGCCAGAAAGAAAGGGTGAAGACAAGGACTTCAGCCAAAGTACCTGCAAGGCAAAAGCCCTGACTCAAGCACCTAGTGCCTAGATTTTTGTGTGTTGGTGTCTCCATCCTCAATTAAGAGTTTAGTAGCTAAGTGATTTGACTCCCTGTCCTGGTTTAGGGTAGAACAGAACTAATTCTGTTCAGTGATTTTACTGTTCGACTAAAGCTCTCCTAATCAGCTGCACTTTCTGAAGCTAACAGCGTATTTTCATAAACTGCCTGCTTCTAGCAGTGATAACTCTCCATGTTTAGAGCTACCACCAAGGACTGGTGTGCAGACCAAGGTCACTGCTAAAGCTTGTGGAACACACTGAGGGGGACAGAAAGGGTGCACCTGCAGGGAGGAGCAGACAACATAAGTGACCCTAATATTCACCAATGTATCTGTCATATTCAGAATAAAGCTGAAGGATCATGAAGGTCAAGCCCTTCTGCCTTCTACCTCCCTTTTGCTGCTCCTGCAGTGGCTGGCATCCCAGAAGGACTCCATCCATCCTGCCTTTGATCCCAAGCTCTATGCTCCTGAGCTGAGTTCCAGAATCCAGCTCCTGGACCCAGTTGCCATCTTCTGCTGAGTCCAGCCTGCGACTTTTCCCTGGGCCCTGCTCCACAGCATTGGGGGTGACAGTGACCTACTGTCATAAGGGGGGAGTTGGGTTCCATACTGGCTTTAGATATATTTGTATATATTCCATTTTATTATTATTACTATTATTATTGGTAGTAATATTTTCATTAAAACTCTTTTACTTTTCTAATGTGTAAGTCTCTCTCCCTTATTTCCTTTTCATTCGCCTTCATGGGGGAGACGGGATAACAGAAAGCATCTGTTACAGGTCTGGGGGCTGCCCTGACCTTAAACTCTGACACTCCTCTGTCGAGCCACCATGTTCTTCTTAAGTGCCTGAAGTGCCGCATCTGGTTTCACATCAGGTGGCACATGCTTTAAACACTAGATTTGAGGGGGCAAGAATAATAACTTCTCTGAAGTCCAAGATGAGCTCCTCTGTAAGAGCTGAGAAAGCACTCAATTGATTCATCAGGGAGAAAACTATTCCTCTTTCCACATCTGTAAAGTGGGTGGTTCATTTCCATGAGCCTTCAAGTCACGAAGGCCTGTCTCTAAATCCCACATCTCTGTATATCAATGCTTTTTTTCCTTCAAAATGTATGATGACTAGCTATGGAAAATTATTTTCTTCCTTCAGAGATAGTTGTGTGTTTACTTTTTTTCTGTGTGCTGTGAACGAAATGTCAGAAGCTTGCTGCTTTGGATGAGCAAGACGTTGCAAATGTGTTATTTCTAAAGTTGGTAAAAAACAGATACTGAAAACAAATTTTCAATAAAAGAGAAGAATTAAAGTAGCTGTAGGGTTTCGGGTTTTTTGTTTGTTTGTTTGTTTGTTTGTTTGTGGTTTTTGTTTGTTTGTTTGTTTGGTTGGTTGGTTGGTTGTTTTTTTGTTTTTTTTTTTTTTGTTTTTTACAGCTGCCAGTGCAGGGCTGTCTGTATTTTGGCTCTCCCAGTCCAAACATAGCAATATTAAAATCTTCAGGTCTAAGGGGACCAATCTTACTGCCACCAAGTCATAATTCAGGAAAGAAGTTTCCAGCTTCTCCTGCCACCTCTTTCCAGAAAAATCTTCTGGTCAAATGCCTTTTGTAGCAGGTCTGGGAAGTCACCAGTTTACACATAAACAAATAAAGGGATTAGCATTCTACAGTGACTGAAGAACAAGGAAATGAGAAGAGGAAGGGAAGGGAACCATTTGGCAGAACATCCCATGTAGAGCTTGTCTCAACAATGCCTTTATATCCGTGTGTGGTGCTATCTCTGCTCAGCAATGCTCAGGATGCTTCCCTAAATCATTTCAACTTAGCTCACAGAGAACAATGCATCCACATCAGAAAAGCAGATGCTGAACAGGGACCCCTTTGAGCGTAACAGGTGTTAGTGTGTGGGTGCAGCGTATGTCCAGTGATGTAATCTTCCAGCCATTCACG